AAGAATACTAGGAGCTAAGAACTAAGGAAACTGGGACCCTACAAGAAAATACAGAACTTACAGAAGACACAGGGACACACATACACACAGACTCAGGCAACATAAACACAGACTGATAAGAGAGGGGACGCAAAACGGAACATAATACATGAGATGGGAGACTATCAAAATAAAATAGGAAGTAGAGACTCAGACTAAGACACATAAACTTGACACTGGGACTGGACCACAAACGAATCAACATGAAAGAAAAGGGAAACCAGGTAGAACACAGAAAGACCAGACAGACACGGGAATATGACCGGGAACACTACAGATGACAACAAGAGATGCTGATGACAAGACAGAGAAGAGACCAGGAACAGACTAGACACGAAGGAAATCGTGTCTAGTCTGAATGAATCACAAGAACGTAACAAACATAAGAAAGGGGTTGACAACAGTTTATATTCTACTGTGAATAAAATGTGAGTTTATGAGAACTGAAAATTATGGCATTCTGTTTAATTTGTGATATAGCTTTCCAACAATTTGGAAATTGGGTTGAAAATACATAACTTACTGTGGCTACATTAAGTAATCTGGTTAAATAACACATTCATTGCCTTTAAAAATAAAAGCATATTTTTTCCTTTAGTTTCACTGACTTTCAGTTTATATTCACTGAATGGTATAGCCTTGTTTTTAAGGGGACAAAACACAGATGACAGCTTAGCCAGAATTAAAAAGTGTGAGAGACTGTAATGACAAATGGAGAGGAAAATGAGTGTCATGGAGGAGAAGGTGTGTGGCTGTGGGTTTTTTTCTTTTTTTGTTTAGTTCTTTTTTTGGGGGGGATGGTATTCTATTGAGGGTGTTATTGGCTCTCTTTGTCTAATGGTGTGGCTAAATTGTGATGAATAGCTTTCTGGAGTGTAGTAGTCTCTCTCTGTGTGTGTGTGTGTGTGTGTCTGCATGCCTGTGTAGACGGGGACTGTGTTTCCTTGTTTATTCTGTAGTGAGCTGTGCATGAATGTGTGCAACAGCAGTACTGGCATTTATGGTAGAGAATATTTTCAGTGAAGGCCAGAGGGTTTTGTGAGCACAGAAAATGATGAAGCACAAAGTGAGAAGAAGGGATGGAAAAAGTGGGAAAGAGTTTACATTGACTGCTATGATTGATTTTATTCTCCTAATTGGCAGGTAGACCTTACAGCCTATATCCTTCATCCATATAGAGTGCGCTCAGCGAGTGTCATGTTTAATAAGCTTCCTGATTGACTTTCTGGTTGTGTGATTGTGCCCTCTGGCTACTGGGAGACTGGAAAACAGGGAGAGGAACAAAGAAGACTAGGTAAAGTCCAAAAGATGCGGATGGGATTTGTGGTGTATTTAGAAAAAAGCAAAGAGTCTGCAGCTGTACTACAGCA